GGGGGGAGGAAAAAAAACTACTTCTCCGTCTTTGTCTGACTTCCCAAGCTGAGAAGGTGTTCCTAAATATGGCAAGGGCCATCTGTGTGAAACAGAGAGTAGGGTAGCAAACTGAGGCCAGGAACTTGATAGGCAGAACAAGCAAGCCCACATCCTGGGTGCAGCACGTCTCAGAGACCTTGATATAAGCACAGCGCTTTGCACCTTACAATGCAATCTCATCTATATTTTATTCATGTGTCCCCACCATTGGGAGGCCCGGAGACCTCTACCAAGGCACACTTTTAGCGTGAAAGTGAGCCCTGGGGTTTTGACTCTGAGTTTGGTTCCCTCTCTAGCCTGTGTATCTGCCACCGTGAAAGTGGGCAAGCCTTACATCCCGGGAAGGGCATCCCTTGTCTATGGGGCCTTAAAACTATCCTAGAGGGTGTGAGAACAGGGCATAGTCAGCAACCGAGAGGATCTTATGGAGAAACGAGAAATAAAACCAGGAACCACAGACATTTATTCTCCCAGCTTTTGCTTCCAGCCTTTTTCTCCACTCTCCTCTTTTCCTGAGTTCCTTCTGGGGCCCCATTCCCTCCACCCACACACCACATTCCTTGTATTTTTCTTGAACTTCATGTTTATCTACTGTCACTGAATGAAACTGTTTGCCTTTGGGCTATTTGTGCTAGGAAGCTGTCTCCCGAAATACGCATTTGGGGGACATACAAAATTATCTATGTACGTCATCTATATGTCAGTCATGACACTGAATGTAAAATACCTGTAAAACAATGTCTTAAGAACTATAAAATAATATCAATGAATCTTCCTTCCCAAGGCCCCTCTATTTTCTTTATCAAGTATGCCTATCCTAAGTTTTCTTTATCATTCTCTGGCTTTCCTTTAAAGTTATACTTACGTAGGTAACCCTCAACCGTGTGTGGGTATGTGGGCAAGGGGTTGTTTTTCAGCTTTGTAAAAATGCCACTATGTTCTATATCATCTTTCTTGGTTTTTCCTCTCAGCATTATGTTTCTGTGATTCATCCGGGTTGTTGCATGTACCTATATGTAGTTCATTTATCTTCCCTACTGTCTAGTGTTCTATTCCATTTATCTATTCGCCTGTTGAAGGATAATGGGGTAATTTTCAGTTGTCTGGTTTTGGTGCAGGTGTTTTGCTTTTAGAAATACGATTACATGACATTCTTATATGTGTTTTCTGATGCATACGAATAAGAGTTTTTGAATTGAAAAGGGGCTAAGAGTCGGTAGATGTGATCCCGCTATAAGCCTTCTGATTATTAAACGATTCTCATTATTCTGCTCCAAAAAGCCACCTTGTTTTCCTGGCAGAATTTATTTTCCAAAGGTGAGTTTTCACTTCATGACTTCCTGAAAAATGACTGTTCAGCCAAGGTTCATCTCTCTCTCATTCTGACACAGTGGGATAGTTTGAGAAGAAGAAAGCCCTTGGTTTGAGACGTGGTTCTTCCATTTACTAATAATGACCTTGGATAAATCTTGTTTACCTCACAGCTTGCATTGAAAATCCAGGAAGTGTCATTACAAGAGAAATTTTCAGGATTGGGGCATCCAAAGACACGGAACTAGAAGCATATGCTACAGTCATTAGTATGCGACGAAAGGGCAAGAACATAGGCAGATCGAAAGGAATCTCTAAGTCTAAACAAAGTATCCACTAAGCATCTTACAATGACCCAGGCTGCTGTCATTTCTTCATCTCAGATTGTCCTGGACTCAAATACACAGTCAGGGGAGTCAATGGAAAGGGAGGAAGAGAAGAAACTCTCACTGAGGGGATCTTATGAACTCCTCCAAGAGAAGGTAAAAAAGTTCATCTTCTTCATAATTTTTCCTTTTTTTTAGAGATGGGAGAAAGTTTCTCACCGCTCTCTTCCCAAATCTCAATCTACCTCTCCCAGCATACACACACACACACACACACACACACACACACACACCGTGTTCTATTTTATATATATATAGATATAGATAGATAGATATAATTTTCTATATATTATGATGCTTTGATATCTTAATAAAAACCCTTCTGCCTGGGAAGAGACTGTCCCTCCCTGGACCAGACAATTCTTAGAGGTAGGAAAGTTTCCAGTACGTCTTTGATATGCAAACTAACCAATCCTCCATCTGGTCCATATACCCCCGGAGACAATATCCCTCTGCCTTAACCAGCCCAGGACCAGGTACCAGGCAACTAGGGACCATCCCCACAGCCCAAAGTTCACTGAATTGTTCAACTAGCCAGTCCTAGGCTGTTCACTCTGCCCTTTCCTGCCTTGCCCTCAGAAACCCCAATAAAGGCCTCAGTCTCAGATTTCACCCCGCTCCTGTCTTCTGTCTCCTGTCCACCCTGGTGTCTTTCCCATGTGCCCTGAGCCACTCGCCTCCTGTCTCCAGCACCTGTGGATAGAATAACCTTTGTTTTTCTGAGACTCTCTGTGTCTCCTCTTGTGGTTGCACCTATCTTGGAAAAGAATGCAAGACTGTTGTGATTTAGAATTTATCATGACTCTTGCCCAGGTGTTGCCAATAAGCAGACTGGGGTTGGTGTGCTAGAGGAGTATCTTGAATCTTAACCCCCCCCCTTTGCCTTTATTTACACCTGTTTTATTTATTTATTATTATTTTTTGCGGTATGCGGGCCTCTCACTGTTGTGGCCTGGCCTCTCCCGTTGTGGAGCACAGGCTCCAGACGCGCAGGCTCAGCGGCCATGGCTCACGGGCCCAGCCACTCCGCGGCATGTGGGATCTTCCCGGACAGGGGCACAAACCCGTGTCCCCTGCATCGGCAGGCGGACTCTCAACCACTGTGCCACCAGGGAAGCCCCTACACCTGTTTTAAAATGCCATGGAAAGTGACCACTCTCCTCCATCCAGAAAGAAACGTGAGCCATTCCCAAAGGCAAGAGGAGACAGACTCATATGCCTGTGGCAGTTCTTTGTTTCATGGCCCGCTATGCTTCCTGGGAGGCTCCCCAAGAATGGAGGGCCTTGGCTAGTTTACGTCTTGGGTCTCCACGTTTCACATCTCCCTCTGACCCCAAGCCTCAGCACCTTCACCTGTCAAAGGGATCTTATAGTAGATAACTATTAAAAATCATGACAATCATTATGACTAATTACAACTTTTATAGCTGCTTTGGAGATCCGAGATGAAAGATGCTTCATGAAGGCACATACGGTGACAGGTGAGCCGTGCAGTTAATTAAACCATCTCGTGCATAATCACACACAGAGTGTTCAGTTGCCAGTAAGCTGGGTTGTGGCAGCTCCCAGGCCCCTCCCAGATGCTGAGGTTCAAGAACATCTTTCAAGGCTCTTCAGTCAACTCATCACACCTGAGGCTCCCGGAGCTTGCCCCTCCTCTGTAAAAGTACCAGTACACAGCTCACGGGCCTTTTGTCCACACAAAAGCATGGTGAGTTAACTAGCAGGGCTTGTGGTAAGTGTTCTAAAGGCCTTGCTTTGAATCCTGGCTCTTATTAGCTCTTAGTTCTGAGCAAATGGCTTCATCTCTCCAAGTCTCACGCGCCTCATCTATAAAATGGGATAATAATTGTACCTAACCTTTGTTGGAGGTATTGGTGATTAAATAAGATAGTGTGTGGTCAGTTTTCATTACATGAAACCTATCGTTGGTATATTGCAAGCAACTGGCACTTTCTTGGAACACGGTTAAGCAATCTGTCCATGGTTGTCTAAGGCAGCCTTTCCTTCAGGCTGGAGACAGTGACAATATTTATCTCTGTGAACAAAACAAGCTTCTTTTCTGTGCAGATGAAACTGGGTAGATGGATGTTCACCAAACTTGGAGGGTGTCTTTAGATCTGGCTTAAAATAAAAGCTAAGCGGTGGATAGGCTTCTACCTGGGCTGTACCTAGAAAAATAGGCAAGCACCTTCCAGAGTAGCTGAAACAGATAATAGCCTCTGGCCCACGTGGCTCACTGATCAGGAAAGCAGTTCAAGATATATGAAGACGGGGCCGGTGGGTTCGTGGGTGGAGGGAAAGAGAGAGAATATAAAAGTAAAGATAGATGTCTCCAGGGGAGGTATGGTCTTTGAAGACGCTGTTTCTTACTAGGGCAACTTGGTATGGCGGGGGAAGCAGCCATAGGATTTATTTATTTCATCATGATAACAGCTAGTTTAAAATAAACCCACGGGGAGGATTCCAAGTAGCCAGATTCCTTAGTTTGGTTCCTGGGTTACTTACGCTAAGAACTCAGGGAGAATAGTCTCCAGTGGCGTTGACCCAGTGACAATCCCACCCTCCCCCGTAGCAAGTGGAAGAAAATCAGGACGCACGGAAAAACAGCAGGAGGGAGTAGGTCAATGAGTAACGTCCCCACTCTTACCCGGGGAACATTCCCCGTGTTCTAGAGCATGGCGGATACCGGAAACTCCCATCTGGAAGCCCACCCAGCCGACAAAGCCTTTGCACTTTCACGTGCCCCTTGGTTCTTAGCAGGAAGTGCTAATGCTGATTTATTCCCCACTTGACCACCATAGCAACTGAAGCTCGAGGAGGCTGAGGGCCTTCCCTGAGTCACACAAAGCGGCCTGCAATGGGCCTAGTGGCCTCAGAGGATGTGTCATTTCAAGAGTTGGGCAGTTGGGTCTGATGGGAACAAAGGAACAGCATGGGGACCTGGGAATAGGGGTTTGGGGGCAGGTGAGTGAGGCAAGGAGCGGGCGGGGACTGAAGCCCTCTGTTCTTTGGCGAGAGGTAGGTGGATGAAATGACCTGTTGCCTCCCTTGATCTTACGAGCAGCTCAGCTCTCGGACCCCGGTGGTTCTGCCTTTTTAGTGGCAGCTAACCGTGCTGCAAGGTAGCAGGGAACGCTCTTGGGTGTGCGGTTTGGGGTGTGGGTCTCCAAGGCCAGGGCCCCAGCACCTGGGCTCCGGCGTGCACCTTGCAGACCCCGGAGTTGGGAGCGGCGGCGTCAGCGGGACCTCCGATCTTACCTGCTGTCGATGGGTGGCCAGGCTGGCGGCCCCAACAGGAAGCAGGCGGCTGGATCGTAGACAGCAGCCCTCTCTGTGGTCTCGCTTTGTATCAGCGCCGATGGGCTCTGCTGCTCATCGGTTTGTACACGCATTTCGTTTCTTCAGCAGCTGTCAAATCAAATTGATTTTCAGTCATTTTAACCTGCGTAGGACCAGCAACCCACTTCCCGCAGGTGAAAAGCTAGTTTATCAAAGGAGTCATTTATCCAGTTCTCTGCAATAGGGACAGGATTTTTGAGTGGCTTTTGGAAAACAACCCATTCCAAAGGGGGTTAGTAACAATAGTCGTAATTACCGTTTATGAAGCATCTACTACACGTCTTTACTTTAGATCCCTTTTATTCTTCTCCAGCCATCATTTCAGGGAGATAATAGCTCAGTTGATGGGTGCTTACTTCTCATGCCTTCTCTGATTAAATCCTAACTACCCAGTGCTATGTGTATTATTATCCCAATTATTTAGCAAATGAAACTGAAGCTCAAACAATCTCATGTAACTTGTGCAGTCATGCAGGCAATGCAAGAGCTGGGATTCTGACTCAGGGCTGGGTGTCACCAACCCACGCTTTTTCCACCTGAGCCTCTTGGACTAAGGTTTTCTCCCTTATCACCTACCGTGTTTGCCTTCGGATTCTGACTCACCTGGAGTAGCAGGCCCATCGGGCACTCATTTTGGAAACAGGGACATTGCAAGGGTATTGAGAGAGAGAAGATCAGAAGTAAAATGCCCCGGCGAAGTCGATGTCAGCTGTGGACAAGTTCAGCCCAGCAGCCTGTGGCCAGGGCCCTGGGCTGGATCTCAGGCAGGCTCAGCATCCACAATGGTGCAGAGGGAATCTGCCCGGAGAGAAACAGAAATGCAAATCCTGCTCCTTAGATGGTCATCAGCCTTAAATGAAACGACGCAGGTGAATGGCTACTGCAGACCCTAGGATAGATACACTCGGCCCTCGGTGAATGCCTGATCTAGCATCAAGTTAACCAAGAGACCAGTTTTCCCCTTTTTTTCCCTTTCTCGCCAAGGATAAAATCACCCAGCCGTTTGGCAGGATGGTCAAGCTCCAGCTCTCCCAAGCTGGTGACCTTCCTGGGATACGTGTGATGGGGGCAGGAGTTTGAAATAGCTACTGAAGTCAGGTCAGAGCTGCCTGTCAGGGGTGGCCAGATTTAGCCAATAAAAATACAAAAAGCCCAGTTAAATCTGAATTTCAGATAAACAACATGCACTTTTTTGACTTAAGTGTGTCCCGACGCCTTTCCTCTCCTCTGTGTTCTGGGCATGCATCCCCACGGTTAGCCGTTCTCGGCAGAGGGGAAGCCCTGCAAGGGGCTTGGACCCTGGACGTATCTGGCACTATCCCTTTTGGATACTTGGAACCGGCCAAGGAGACACAAGTGGCCCTGAGGGGACACAGTGCCGGCCCCTCCCTGCATGGGGACAGATGGGGGATTTGGGGGCTGCAAACGTTGGCACTGATGATGAAAACCTGGTGTTTCCTGGGGAAAGGCTTTATGCCATGGAAAGTGCTGCCACCCTGGGCCTTTCTGGAAGGATCTGCTCCTAAGTGGGTCTTTCCCACAATCTGCCCCGTGGGGCCCATTCAGAGGGAGGTCCCTGGATTGAAGAGGCCATGACACTGGCTCCCAAGACCACACTTGCACAGTGGCCGTTTCCTTTTCTCTCTCTCCTCTTCCTTCCTCTCTTCCCACATCTCTTGGTCTCTCTCGTTTTTCTCCTATGCCCTCCTTTCTCCTCTGTACTGTAAGGCAGTGTGCGTGGTTCTCAATCGGGCCAAGTGTACCCCCAGCTCCTGTGGCTGGAGCCTGCGCTGAGAGGAGGCTGAGAGCCTGCGCACGGAGCCCCTTAGTGGCTGTGATGCGTCTTCTACTGTCCTGGCTGTGAGGCTCAGGCACCCGGTCCAGCCCCACCCTTCCGGGACATTCCCCCGGCCCTGCGCTGGCACGGCTGTTGGGATCGGCAGGCCCTCACCCCAGGGCCTTGCCTGGATCCCAGCACACCTCGCCTCCATTGCCCAAGGACTGGCAGCGTATCAAAGAGCTCTGGTTAGAACAACATTTGGCAGCTAGAGGTGGCTCAGCAAAATGGTCCTGGCCTGGGTGCAGCGGGAGCTGGGCCTCCTGGAGTGTGGGGTGTGCAGCCTCGGCGGCTTCTGTCTGCAGCAGAGCCCGGGTAACAGCATCCCCACTTCCCACCCCACTCCCCATCCCCATCCCCATTTCCCACCCTCGGTCTCCCCCGCAATCATATCCCTGGATACTGGTGCTGCAGGAGACTCCATGGATCTCAGGCACTGGGAGTGTGCAGCCCGGCCTGAAGCAAAATGTCAACAACCACAGCTGCCATTTCAACGCAGCGCTTGGGTGTCGAGCTCAGAGCTGCATGCTTCACACACGCTATCTCAACTTTGCTCATCGCAACCCTCTACGGTGGATCTTATTATGATTCCCATTTTATAGTCATCTTAATAACTCGGTTTCAGGCAGCCCTTTAAGCTCCTGACATTCCCTGACTTTCAGTTATAGCTTGTTTAATCCTCACAGCACCACTATGAGGTGGGTACTAGTCTGATTCCCATTTTGTAGCTGGGAAAACTGAGGCACAAAGAGGTGAGTAACTCGTGGACCTGGGAGTCAGACCCAGATAATCTGGTTCCAGAGATGAAGCCCTTAGAACCATTCTGCATAAGGTCCCCCCAGATAAGCAAAAGCGAGTTCAGAAAGGTTAATTAACTTGCTTAAGGTCACAAAGCTAAGATGTGTCAGAGCAAATGGTGGGACTCAGGTCTGTCTACTCAGAGCTCCGTTCTCATTCATTATGCCACAGTGCTAAGTTTCATACAGATATACAAATGGAGCACCATATGTGTGTGTATACACATCTATATTCTATAGAACTAGTAAACAAATAAAACAAATAAATGAGCTATATAGCATTCATTTGTTTAATATTTAGTTTTGAGACAGAGAAGATTTAAAAAACACACCTATGTACATATCTATGACAATTCATTAATAGTAAATATATTTAAAACAAACCCATGTTAACAATCCATGACTGACATTATAACATGCAGAATATTTTGAGAAATGGGAAAATAACATGTCATTGTCCAACAGGCTCAATGAGGGAAGCTAGCCACATGAGTATATTTTTAGTTCTAATTTTAGAAATCTTCAAAGCAGGTAAGGGTTCCACTCTGAGAAAAAGAAGGAAGCTCAGAAAACAACCACCAAGGACCTGCAGCAAAGATGGGAGCTAACTGGTCCTGTCTGCTCCCAGACGCTGTTCTTTACTACTAGTCTATCCTGCCTCTTCCATGAATCCAAACTACCAGGCAGGCCTCAGGGTGTGGGTGCAAAGGGGTCTGGGAGCAGGTGGCCAAAGCTGCAGTGATGAACTGTGATGGGTACCTTTACGTCTCAGCTAGCCCAAGAGCCCTGCCCGTGTGTAGTAGGGAAGCTTTCACCTGGGGCATTTGCCAGCCGGGCTCACAGGGCTTAATTCAGTTGCAAAATACCCTAAACCCCAGCATTTTATCATTCTCCTCTGGAGTCTTTTGGCTTGGGAACAAGTGTGCTGGCCTGTGTGGAAACAGCCCGACAGCTCCGTGCTTGGAATGTGCAGAGTTGGAGGCAGGTGCAGGCCAGCCACAGGCCCAGGATCTGGAAACCTCCTTCTGGGTCCGAGGGGGGGCCGCAGCAGAGCCAGAGCTAGCCTGTGCCTTTCAGGGAGTTTGCTTCTTAAGAACCTGCTGGTCCATAATTACTGATGAGCTCGCAGGAAAGAAGCCATAAATTGGCAGTGGAGGGGGCTTGGTGGGCAGGGGCAGTTACAGCTCATTTTCCCTGCAGACCAGCTGCAAAAAAGGATTGAGGGAAGACCTCCCTCCAGCTGCCTCCTTCACCTCTGCTCTTCCCCGTGCTCCCCTGGATGAACCCAGCTCCCTTTCTCCTGCTGGCTTGGCAGGTGTCTGCCAGTCACACTGTTAAGTTGCCCCAGACCTGCCCGTGTCGGCCCCATCTTGCCACTCCTACCCGTCTGCTCCCAGGACAGCAACTGTGCAAAAAGCCCCACACGTGAACTAGCATTAGCGAGACAGCCTGAGAGCCTCTTGGCCTGGGACACTGGGGCAGGGAGCTCTGCCACGGGAGCAAGGTGACATGGGCGCGAAGCTGGGGCCCTGGGCTTACGGGAGGGCAGAAAGCACCAGGTGAGAAGAGGCCTCCATGGGAAGTGATGCTGGCTAGTAACACTAACTGCCGTGGTCAAGGCCTTCTGCGTGTCAAGAAGAGATGCTTTGGGTCTGGAACCTGAGCATCACTTTACCTGCCTGGGCAGCACATCATGCACTCTGTGGTCTCTCTGAGGCCAGTCTCACCTCTTCCCCATGTGCCAAAAGAAAATAGTAATCTGACAGCTAAAGATTTGGAAAACGTAGTTTTCTTCTGAAGCTTTCCTGGGAAAATGGAGGAGGGGGCTCCATCAAGCACCAGAGGATTCTGGGAGATCCTCTTTCACCATCGTTGCTCCAGCTTCCTGCAGCAGCTGCCCCCTCCCTTTGTGTGCCCCAAGAATCTCCCCCAGCTGTGTCTCCTGTCACCTGGCTTTGCATCCCTTGCAACTGTCCCTCAGAAATCCTTCAGCTCTCATATCTCGCTCTACAAAACAGAAGGGATGACTCTTAACAACAGAGAAGTCTAGTTAGCAGATCTCAGATCATAAGCAAGTCCTCGGAGACATAATTCATCTAACAATATACCCATTATTTTTTACTTTATTAATTAAAAACTTAAACAGAAAATGATGACACCCATGTACCCACTAACCTAATTGGACTGATATTAATATTTTCTCCTTTCTTTCCTTCAGATCTCCCATTCTCCTCTCTCTCTCTCTCTCTCTCTCCCCCGCCACCTCTCTCTCTAACACCTTATACAGAAGGTAAAGCCTTACAGCCCATTTCTATTTTCTCCCTCTTTGGAAACGTTCCCGCGCACGTCTGGTGAGTGTCATTTGGTCTGATTCCAGGACAGCACCATGGTTTTGAATGCAGACTTGGAAGCCAGACAGCCTGGCCATGAGCTCCAGCTCTGCACCAACTAGCTGGGTAAGCTGGGGCAAATTGCTTAACTTTTCTGTACCTCAGTCAAATAAGGAAGATGATTGTAAATTAATCTTGGGTGCAACAGTCAAATGTTAATAGATTTAAAGTGCCTGGAACAGAGCCCAGAAAAAATAAATGCTAATAAAGATTAGCTATAATTATGATCCATACACAATAACTAGAATAGTTTTTTGGGGGGGGGGTTAAAATTTGCCTAAATTGTGTCATAGCATTACACCTATACACAGACACACACAGATACACACACACACTCCTTTTTCACCTTTCTCCTCTCTTGTGCTCCCACTGTGTTCAGACGTACCATTTTGATCCATGTAATACATTCACTGTAGTTGCTATGGAGTGGTATATCATTGTTTTTTTAATTTACATTTCCCTGATTACTTTCTCTAAAATGTATTTGGAAAAGTGAGAGCCAAAGCAATTTTTAAGATGAGGAAGAATGAAAGGAGACTCGCCTTGTTGTAATGACACTAAAGCTTATAAATTTGTAAGTTTAAGCAACAACGTCCAGTAGAACGTTCTGTAATCATGGAAATATTCTATACGTATGCTATTCAATATGGCAGCCACTAGCCACTTACGGCTACTGAGCACTTGAAATGCGGCTCCCTCCCCATTTGGATGTCAATTCCAAGGAACTGCATTTTAATTTAAGTTTAAATAGCAACATGTGATAATGACTACCCT